CAATGACACGAGCCCAATTAAATAGCCCGCAGGAGAAAGTGTGTGTGAAGCTCAATTATCTAGATCATTTGATACTTATTGTCAAGTTAGCCCATTAAAAATTTAAAAGGAAAGAAAGTGTTGGGCCATATTATATATCCAATTGACGAAAATCTAGTAAAGACACAATTGTTATTTAATAATAAAAAAATTGTCTTCTTTCCTCTCCGATCATTACTTTTCCACCATTGTTGTCAAGTGAACAAATTTGACATGAATCTTGAAATATCCAGTCCGAAATTAGATGAGGCTAAATAAAAGATTTCATGGGGCTATGTATGAACTTTTTTAAGGCAAAATTGCATCAAAATGCACCACTTTATAACTTTTTGCAATTTAATCACCAGATAATGTTCCCCTACCCACTGTGGGCACGTGTTAATATGCCCACCGCTTACGTGGCATGCACACATTGGTGATGTTAATATGTTCAAAAAAATACATCACCAATGTGTGCATAACACATAAACGGTGGGCATATTAACATGTGTCCACCGTGGGTAGTGGAGCATTCCTCTTTAATCACCAGATTTTAAAGTTTGCAACTAAGTACACCAGCTTTAGACATTTGGCAAATCGAAGCATGTCAAACGGAAACCAACACCTGCTTTTTTACGTGGTATCGTCGAAAACTCACGTGAAAATCGAAAACACGCGTGGAAGTCCAAAAATAACAAACAAAAAATTAAAATGCCCTAAAATCAGTTTACCTGGCAGATTTGCTGAAATAAAATTAAAATTAAGTAGCTCCTCAGCCCTATATTCAAAATCAGTCCAACAACTAAGAACCCTAAATTGAAAATTTGTCAAACAATTCGAACCATGGGGGGATATATATCAATCTTGATGGTTTTGTAGATTATTTTGGAGGTGAGTTATTTTGGCCACAAGAGAAATTTTGAATTGATCGACATTTTTTTCAAATTAGGGTTCATAGTTGTTCGACTGATTTTGAGTTTAGGGCTGAAGAGCTACTTAATTTTGACTTTATTTTAACAAATCTGCCAAGTAGACTGATTTTGTGGCATTTTAATTTTTTGTTTGGTATTTTTGGACTTCCACGTGTGTTTCCGATTTCCACGTGAGTTTCCAACATTGCCACGTAAGAAAGTCGGTGTCGGTTTCTGTTTGGCATGCTTCGATTTGCCAAATGTCTAAAGCTGGTGTACTTAGTTGCAAACTTTGAAAGGTGGTGATTAAATTGCAAAAAGTTAAAATGTGGTGTATTTTGATGCAATTTTGTCATTTTTTAAAAATAAAGCTAGCAATTTTTTATTTACTTTTATTTTTTGGACATGGGGCTGGAGCCCACCCTAGCCCATGGGTGACTCCGCCTCTGCTTATCTTGTGTGAGCGTGAGATTGATTGTATGTGAAATTCTGCGATGACGATATGAGAGCCGGTTTGAATTTATTGTGATAATTGAATGGCTTGAGTTAATTTGAATTTGTTTCTTAAATAGTTGAAATTTTGTTATAGAAAAATGGGATGCCTGTGGTATTCATATTTTTGAAACAAATTGAAATTATTTTTGTTTTCTAAAAACTTTGAAAGGAGAATCTGGTCAATCTCAATTTTTTGTTACAAAAAATAAAAATGAGATTTTGGTAAAAAAAAAAAATGATATGAAGAAGTTGTACGGATTTTAAATTAATTTGTATTTGGATTTAATTTCATAAATAACTGACACATTTTTTGTATAAGAATCTCCAAATTGGTTAAAAAAAATAGGATTCCTATATGAGTTTCATATTTAAGAAAATCTGGTTAATTTGTATTTTTCTCCTAAATAGTTGGAAGGAAAATCCAGGCAATTTGTCTAAGAATATGATTAAACTTGATTTTTAAATATTTACATGTGTTTTTTTTTTAAATTGCCACTAGTAGTAAGTCAAACATTTCTTTTTTATTTTATTTTTGTCAAACTTACTATAAAGGTGTTTTTCCAACAACCTTTTATGTTATCATAAACTAGTGTGTATCCCGTGCGATGCACGAGTAAACAATATTTATAATAATTATAAATAAGTATCGAGTTCGAGTGACCCAATGAAAGAAGTGGGGAATCACTATTGATCTTCTCTTAAAAGAGCAAGAAAAGATATTATAAATTAAAGATAAGGGTAACTGATATTAAATAGTAATTATAAATTAACAATGTGGGGTTAACATGTCATATAATTTACGGTATATCATTTTATTATAAACGATATAAAATTAACTTGTTCAAGATAACATAAAATTTGTATGTTTAAACAATTAAAAACTCCTTAAATATTATATTAATATATGTAAAATTATCTAAATTCTTCTATATTATTATCAAAAGATGTGAAGTCACCTAAAATATTTTTTTTTGTAAAAAAAATATATCTAAAAATATTAAAGTATACATTTGTATGAAAGATGTTTTCCGAAGATGACATGACAAAATATTATATAAAAGTATCTAAAATATTATAAACCTAAATAAATACATTATAAAGTTTTTGATAGAAAATTTGCCTAGTATATATATAATAAATATTGGCATGATGCTGAAAATTATGACGATACTACTGTACCTGAAAATTTGAGTATAGAAGATTTCAAAATTATTATTATTATTATTCTTTTGAGTAATTTGAGTATAAAAGATTTCAAAATTATTATTATTATTCTTTTAAGTAATTTGAGTACATAAGATTTCAAAATTATTATTATTTTTTAGTTACCGTAAATATTATTATTATTCTTTTAAGTAATTTGAGTATAGAAGATTTCAAAATTATTAGTTTTATTTTTTTAGTTACTGTAAAATAAATTTTGTACGCATAAAATTCCACGCTTTATGCAGATTTTTCAATTTTACAAATAAAATGGGATTTATTTTATATTGAATGGAGACTAAGACAATTTTTTTTTTTTAAAAAAAAATAATTTGTCTATTTTCAAAATTATCCTCTTGATTTGGAAACAATACATTTGTAATTTGATTTAACTATTGTAAAATTTTGAAACTTATGGAAAAAAATTAAAGAGATGAATTTCAATTGATTTGAAATTCTTTAACCATTTTGAATTTCGTGCAAATTGAAACCTAAAAAATGAAATTCAATATAATTTTTTAATTTCCAAGAGGTTTTGTTAATTTTAAAGTGGAGCAAAATTCTTCATTTAAGGTTAGCCGTCCAAGGATAGAAGCATGTGATTAGATATTTTTTTAATTCAATTTGAACAAAATCTTTTATATTAGGAAGAGATTTTGAATTAACCCCAATTTTATGGCAACTAAAATGAGAAGGGATTTTGAATTTCAAATTTTCAATTCAAGTTTTAAGGTAATTTTTTTCGGCAATCTGATTGTTTGGAATAAAAAAACACAATTGAATTTTTTAAATCAAATATGTGAAAGAATTTTGAATTTCAAATTATATTTAATGATCAAAATTTTTAGAACTTAATGGAACCAAATCCACCAATTTTTCTTTTAGGGGTTTAAATGAACTGTAATTTATTAATTAAACCAAATCAACCAAATAAATGAATTGGGATTTATTTATTTTTTAAATAAAAGCATCCGATTAAAACAATTGTAGTAGCCGAGTTAATGTTAATAGAGTTTCTGATTTTTTGTAAATACTAATGTAAGTTCATATTATTAAATTAGGCGTATTTTATTTTTTTTTAATAAAATAAAATTTGCAATGTAGTACACGATTATATGTTAAAGATTTTTTTTATTATTATTTTTGAAAATAAAAAAGGAACAACCTAATCTTGTGCAAAAATAAATAGCAAACTCCAGTTAACAAACTCCAAATTTAAATGCAATAATTAATGATGCACGTTTGTAAATAAAAAAATAAAATAAAAAACTTGCTATTAATAGCATGCAATTAATGCTCAACCATAATTGACCACAATTTGACTTGTCATTTTTAAAAAATGGCAATTCTTTTTATATATATATAGATTCGAAGCCTAGTTGTTTTTGAATTGGAAATAAGTAAAATTCATCCAAGTCAAATGACAAAGCATGAAAATTTGTCACATTGGATCCCAAAACGTGTGAGTCTGTCACTCAGGCTCTGTACATTCGACAATTAAGTATATGGGTAATATATAATATTTTAAATGTTGTACCGGTAGTCATACCGGTCGAGCGACCGGTATGCGGTATTACCGGACTACCAAATAGAATGATATATATAAATATAAATATAAATTTAAGATATCAAATACAATGAAGTAATAAAGATAAATCATCATAATCATTAATTTTAACTTATGAATGAGATAAAAATAAAACATTCTAGCTACAAATTTAAATTTTATGCTTTTAAATGAATAAATTTTATTATTTTTTATTTGTTGACCAGTATTTTGTACCGGTATTTACGGTATGAAATCCCGGTGCAAACGATGTAACCGTAAATTCGGTATTTTGTGTGTAATTGTACTGTATCAATAGTCGGTATCATGTATTACTGGCCGGTTCGGTGCAATATTTTAATCATTGGTATTATATGCTAAATGTGGACGATTTTTTTTTATTCCAACTGTCAATCTTGATAATACATATTTAGCCCGGCCGGCTGCCATAGGCAGCAATTAAACATGCATTAAAACATCACGTTCTCCTTTCCCTTTTCTTTTGGCACTAAGAAGCTAAGCCACTCAATTATTTAGAACTCCATAAAAACCTGTACTTAATAAACTACTTAGAATTCTGCAAGCTGCACTTGATGCCTTGGTGGCTAGCAGCTATAACTAAAGGTCCAATTTAACCCCGGGAGTCTATATAAACAATCCGAATCGAGTACAAACACACCAAAAACCGGCAAATCGACAGTTGATAAAACGAAAGATAGAAAATGGAAGCTCGTTTTTCGGTCCTAATGTTGATAATTTTCAGTGTGTTGGCCCTTTTTGTAGCTCATTTGTCGGCTGATGCAAATACAACGCCAAAAGTCACAGCAATGTACGTATTTGGGGATTCATTGATTGACAATGGAAACAACGTTCCTTTCGTCACTAGCGTAGCAAAAGCCAAGTATTGGCCTTACGGCATTGATTTCGATAAGGGGCCAAACGGGAGATTCAGCAACGGGAAGATACTTGTCGACTACATTGGTATTTACTCATTTTTTATCGCGTACTAAATTAGCTACTATATTACATATTAATTGTTCATTGTTGATTCATCATAAGATTACTCGAAACTTACTAATAGAAAGATAATATAGTTACGGGTAATCACATTTAAACGCGCATTGCGTAATAACTTTACTATATTTTCGCTGTATTTTTCATCCAGGTGAACTTTTGGGACTTCCACTTATTCCATCATATGCAGATACTGATGTGAACGGTGACAACATCATGTATGGAGTAAATTACGCTTCAGCCGGGTCTGGAATTCTCCAGGACACGGGAGATCATTTTGTAATGTTCGCTTCACGAATCTTTGTATTGATATTTTACCAAATGTTGATATCAATCGATCATAAAATAAATAAAATTAAAATTCTACGAAAATTGTGTAGGGCCGAGTGATCCCCCTACGTGAACAGATCAGTAACTTCGAAAATACGTTGAATCAACTCGAAGATCAAATGCAGACAGAGGATTTGAGCAATTATTTGGCGAAGGCCATCGTTTTTCTTGGCATGGGCGCAAACGATTACCTTAACAATTATATATTCCCTTTGGGACACGAAAGTAGCAAGAGTTATAGCCCTCAAGATTATGCTGATCACCTCGTAAAGCAATACGAAGGGCATATAATGGTAAGAATGGCTTCAATTCCTATTATCCTGACTACTTTACTATACAACTTTGCACATGTTTATTCCTTGTGTAGGAATTGCAAAAGTTGGGCCTTCGAAAGTTCTTCATAGCAGAGATTTCCCCTATTGGTTGCATACCGAGTAGATTAGACCAGAGCAAAGTCCCTCCAGGAGAGTGCGAGTCCAGATCGAATAATTTGGTCCAAATGTTCAATTCACGACTCAAGCCTTTAGTAAATCAGCTCAATTCGGAAAATCCCGGCTCCATATTCACGCTTGGTGGTTGTTTCGAAATATTCTTGAACTTGCGTGCCAATGCCGATGCTTATGGTGAGAAACTAGAATTTTTTTTTCATTAAGTCCAATTCAAGTTTGACTCGATGAAAGCTCGTTCGAGCTTGATTTGGTTCACTAATAAACATGATCGAACAAACTAGTTCAAATTAACGGCAGTGATTAACGTGTTTGTTTGTGACAGGATTTACGGTGAAGGACAAGCCTTGTTGTGGTGTCGGGATAAATAAAGGAAAATCGTTGTGTGTCCCGAATGCAGAACCGTGTTTTAATAGGGAACAGTATTTGTTCTGGGATGATGCTCATCCTACTCAAGCGGTAAACCGGATACTCGGGCATTGGATTTTCAACAGCACCACATACTCATTTCCTGTCAGCATACAGAAACTAGCAGAAATGTGAAGTTAAGAGGCATTACTACTGCTAGTTCTTGCTTGGAGCTTCTTCTGTTTTAGTTTCTTTTTTTTTTTTAAGTTATGCTATTTTGTATTGCCAATGACATGTGTTTGGAACAAGGAAATAAATAGCTCGCTAAAGTTGCCGCTATTTGAGAAATAGCTTTTTTTGGCAGCGTGCCGCTATTTGTATTCATGTGCAATTTAGCCGCTAAATCCCGCTAAATCTCCGCTATAGCTACAGTGTCATAAACGTTTTAGCCCGCTATTTAAAACCTTGGTTTGGAATAATATTGTTCTTTGAAAGTGTGTGCAGTAAAAGGCACGAAGCATATATATAGTAACTACTGACTTACTAAAAGTGGGAAATAAATGAGAACAATATTATTCCAACAGGAGAATAACACGCTCGGAAGAGAAGAATACACGCTCCCAAATAGGAAAATAACTAACAGTGGATATTTACCCACGATATATATGTTACAATCTTGAATAACTTAGTGCGATCGATGCCTCTTTATTTCTAATATTGTGGTTATGTTTCCCCTGCTATGTTGTGTTGTTATTGTGCTGTCATTGTATTGCACTACTATTACGAATTTTTTAATTTTAAACAAAATCAAAGGTTAAAATTGATTTGACCCAAGAGCACTTGGATGAGATGACTTGGGTCTCTTCCAGCTTAATCAGTGGTCTCGTGTTCGAGCCATGAGAATGCAGCAGTGTTAAAACTCTTGAGGGAGAGCTTTGCCGTCCTTGTGGTCCTACCCAGCTCGATTCCGGATTAGTCGGTTTCCCTGTAGATCCGGAAACCGGAAGGTCCCTGTACCAAAAAGGTTAAAATTGATTTTTAATCTTTTATTCTTTACTTAATGAAAACTGAAAAGAAAACTAAAAATTAAATACAAATTACAAATCTATATATATATAATTACTAGCTCTTCTACATTTAAGAAAACCTCATAAATTATACCTAGGTGACACTTTTATATTTTCCCTCCAAAACCGTTATTTTTCATTTATTTAACCTAATTAATAGATAATCAATACACTAATCAATTTAAAATACAAAAATCATTTTGAACTTTTGATTACTGACAGTTAACCATATAATGTGTTACCGTATAATTTGATTAGACATTATTATTGTGGTTACATGTAAATTAATTTTTTTGGAAAATAAAAAAAGTATATGAAACTCCTAAATAAATTATAAATAATTTTTAAAAAAATTACATACCAAAATATACGTTACATCCAATCTAATAAACACAATTTAACAAAAAATCAACTCCTTTAATTGTAAATTTGGCTGCAAAAACGTGAAAGAAAAATAATTAATCATTATATGAATACAAATAACTCACAATATTTTATTTACATTTGTGCAAATGCACAGGTAGAATACTAGTTTATGGTAAACTACAAATAGGATATTAATTATTGAATTATTATTTAGAAAAATATCATTATACACTAAAAAATTAATAATAAATATATATACAGTTACATATTATATATATAAAATAAATAAAAAATCATCTATTAATTAAAATATTTTGACCGATTTGCCCAGTGATTTGAGTGAACCATTGAACCAGATCGGGTCGATTTTGAAATCATGATTTTAATTTAAAAACTTAAAAAAGAAAGAAATGGAAAGGAAAGGAGCAGTATAGCTAGACATGGACGCGTGCCGAACCGGCCCGTGACCCGACCCGCGACCCGAACCGGCCTGACCCGAACGGCCCGGAACCGGCCTCCTAAGGGCCGGTTTGTTGAACCGGAACTGTAAGGCCGCAGTTCGGTCCCGGTTCTAATTTTTTTTATTTTTGTCCCGCCGGGCCGGACCGGCCCGTAAACCGGCAGTTCAGAACCGGCCCTTGGTTCTTAGCAGGCCGGTCGCGGTCTAGGTGTTGGAGGGCCCGTGGCCCGGCGGGCCGGGCCTTGGCCCGGCACCTGGTCACGTCTAAGTATATCAATTTGATAACTAGTGTGGTCGCTCTCAGATTCCCCATACAAAAATATCTCACATCTCTGTAGATCGATTTCTACTGTTCAACGTATCAATCTCGAACTCTCTTCTTGAGCAGCTATCCCGATTTTGGACTCATTATAAACTGAATCACGAAACTCCCAGTCCCAGGACCCTGTTATTTTTTGTTCTACGCACTCACAGGGAATATGGAGCCGCCGGCGACAGTTGGTGGAGGCGGCGGTGGAGGAGAAGGAGTGAGGCGCCAGCAGCCGCAACAACAACAACAACAACAACAACAGGGTGTAGGGAATATGTTGACGGGGATAATTAGGGTGGCAGTGTTGTGGTATTTCGCGTCCAAATTCTTTGGACCCAAGCGGCCGCCTAGTGCTCAGTCCTCTCACCAGATCTCCAATCTGTTTCACAAGGGGGAACCTCTGGTCCGTAAAATTCTCAAACTTTAAGGTTTATGTGAACGTTTGAATTTAATTTGGTGTGTGATTGTGCAATTCATATCTTGCTATTGGCCCTTCAGACATAATCTTGGTTTGGTGTTTGCTGGTAAAGTGGGATTGTTTCTTGTGGCTCTTCAGACATAATCTTGTTTTGGTGTTTGCTGATCAAGTTTTGATTTTCAGCATGAAATGCATAGAAGTTTATTTATTTTTAATAATCTCATTATTGGGAAAATGAATTTGGAGTTGCGTTAGCACAGGGGTCTGGCTGAAACTTACAGACCTAGATCGAAACTCAAGGAATTCTTTTGCATCTTGCTTAGTTGGTAAAGGAGTTCTTGATTATGCCGAACACGATTGTACTTCATATAACCGTACATTAGAGGAGATATGGTTTGAAAGAGAACACCAAACTAGAGATTATCTGATTATCTAAACAAGATTATTCGAAGTTTAAATTATATACAATCCATTTTAAATACTCAATATGAAGTACATGTGTAGCTGAAGCAAAACATTATACTTGTGAGGTAAAAAGTTGTATTTTTCCTTGCAAGTTGCAACTTACATTATTTTGAGAAGTATGGCGTTTTAATTTGAAATAATGGACATTTATTTGAAGAATATAATTTTTCACTTGAAAGAGAGATTTTTTATTTATTATTTAAAGATTATGATTCTTGTATGCATGGCACATAGTAGTTTTTGCGGTAATAGGATGTCATGATATCCAGAAACTTGGCATAGGTTATTATTATTTATATACATTAATAGCTTTTATGCGCACCCCAAGCCTTGTATGGAATCTTTTTATTTCCTTTGTTTTAAATGAATTTATTTATGATTTGATGATACAAGTTTGTGATGAAATGTTTATACATATGACATGTTTTTGTATTGTTATTATTATTAGTACAGTTTATTCTTCATGTTCTTCGTGGAATTGTGATGAATTCATTCATTACGCTTTAAGATCATGTCTGAGTTGTGCCTCTTACTGAAATGGTTTTTAAATACCAATATGCAAATTGCATGATGTATTAATTTTACGCGTGGATAGATCAATATGTTGTTCAAGAATAATCATAAAAGAAATTAGATGAAATTCTTAATGGCGAACTATACTTTTGAATAGTTTGTATTGGTATCATAAGTTGCAGCAGTCGTTCACGTTGCAGTGATAGTAATTATCTGTGTGGATATAGGTGGTAATGATTGGTTATGAATGCTATAAGACTGTTGTGAATTGTGGATTTAGCTAACTAGGGATGAGAATGATGATGAACCCATTAATTCTGTCGAGGGAAGCGTATGGATAATAATTATACAGATTGAGTTATTTCAGACAATAGCGCTTTGCTATTCCATCTCAATCTTTAGACATTTCCAATTATATACCCTTCCCAAAAGTCTCATTAGATAAAACTCCAGTGCTCCTCATTTGCATTTTAAATAAGAAAAGTCTCACGTAGTTAAAAGAAAAAAAAAAAAAGTTATAGCTGAAGAGTTAAAATTGCACAATCTTAAGGTTGAGCACATGAGCTAGAATCAGGGAGTGATAAAATGCCCCTGTCCGCTGCATGAGTCCATCCTCAGATATGAAATAGTTTGCTGGGACATGAGAAGATTAACTTGAGATTTAGAATCGGTTCTGGTTGAATAAAGATGTTCTTAAATTTCTTAAATATACTTCTGTAATTAAAGAATTACATTTTCATTTCTTCCACCCTCCCGGCCTCCCCCAAGTTAATGACCATACTGTGGTTCTATGCGGAATCTATAGCCATACCAATTAACCTTTGACCCTTGTTCTTCTTCCACTTTTCACAAAACTGACAAATATACATTGATTCTGCTAGTGTTGTCTCTCTAAACTTGTAAATGTCTTGCATATGTTTCCAGGATATGTGGTTATATCTTTCTGAGCAAGAGAAATTTAATGACTTCAGCAGTGAGGGGGCCCTTGTCTGGCAGGAGACAAATATACCTTTCGCTGTTTGGACAGCAGACAGTACAAGAACTCTATCCGTGAAGTATTATCCTTCTGAGGTGTTGATTTTTTTTTTTTTTTTTTTT